GTTAATATAGATATAGCATAGGTATATATATATATATATATATGTACTTAAAAACTATCGTCTCGGAACTGTCTCTCGTTGGTCGATACTTTTGTCAGAGCGATAGCTTCTATGTGTTTCCGAGATTGTGCTTGTTGTGGCTCTTCTACGTCAAAAGCGTCTGGCCTTCATTCCTTGAGGCATTTATGATTATTAGCATTATTACGATTTCCGTCACAAAACAAACACCGTCAACTGATTATCTCGCCCCATCCATTATCGTGTCGTGCCGGCTAGCCACAGCGGTAAGCAAGTCCGTTGTTGGTAAAAGGATTAATGATGTTGTCTCGGTGTCTTTACGTAGAAAAACTACCGACATGATTACGGCAACACTCCAGTTGCTGTTCCGTTCTTATTGACCCCGATAGTATCAACCAATTTGTGTGATGTTATACTGCTCGCTTTATTCTATTATACTTTCTTCTATTTGAGAAGTCGTTGGCTACATCTTTGCTTCCAAAGATCTCTCGAAGCAGCTTCTGCATCATTATCTGCTTCCTTCAGAGTCCTAACATAATTTTTTTCTCATTTATCAACACTACTACTATTAACGTTCATGTCACAGTGAAGACTGCTGTGTACATTAATCCACTTGTCATGAGTTGTTATGGTCTTTGTTGATGACAAAGCATAATCTATCATTGTACGCTTTTAGTACAGAGTAATTATTTGTAATGATAATTGTTATTTGTGAATCTATCTGAGGCGGCTACGACCTTGCGGAAGTCGTTGTCCACGTACGCACAAGTCGCGGTAATAGTGCTCGGGAACGAATAGACTTCGGCGTCAAGAACCAGAAATCTCCATCACACTCCTAGAGAAAGTGAAAAACGACTAAGAGAATTATACATCCTGAATTCTAGACAGTCTAGAACAAACCACCTTCTTCCAATACTCATCATTTCATATCTGACTGATTGTCCCCGGTTAAGTTTGCCGCGTTGCGCCCACAATGACAACATCTGTGCGTGAAACGAGGTGCTAACTACGGGTTGCTGTCGTTCGACAAATCATAATATCGGCTCTTCTCGCTTATAACTGCAGTTGTTAGCGGCACAGTATGATGTCGTCGTGCACTCGTAGCGAACTTGGCGACACCAGCAGAGCGTGTAATAGTCGCTATGCATTTCCATGTTTTACTCGTTGTGCTGATCTCACGGCAACCTGGGACACATTGTTAAATGTATTTAATTCGTATTGTTCAACTTTAACGATTACGCATCTCAAATTTTCAGTCGTCGATCACCCTCAGGGGTGACGCCACCGTTGGAAGAAGAATCTGCGACCGGTGTGCCGGAAAAATATCTGTGCCGACTATATAGTTTCCATTAGCCTCTCTTCTAGTTTTCACCAGCGCCTGCATCACCTAATTTCCCCTTAAACATACATTTGAAGGTGAAGAATGAGCCACGAAGATGCCTAAATCGTTATCGTATTATGCATATGATTTTAGTAATAATAATTTTAATCAATACCATTTAGTAAGCCCAGACGACCTAGCTTTTCTAATAACAAGGCTATATATATATATATATATATATATATATATATATATATATATATATAGGGGCGAATGAACTCGTCGGCTCTGCCCTGCGATCACCATATGGATAAAGTATTAGTCGTAGGAGGGTGCTAATTGCGTCATAGTAGTTATTATAGCAGTAGTGCGTTTTCACCAACTAACACATGTTCATCTGAATATCGCATTGACGCTACACTATATTATTGTTACTGCTATCATTATTCGCACTACAAATACTTCGTTTATCAAATGTTGCTATTATCTGACTCCGACGACGAAAAATGCAAACTAATGGGAATAGAATTTAACCAATAGATTATCACGACCGGGGTAAAAGAGATACAATTACAGTAGTAATTAATGCCGAGCTACCAGCAAAAGAAGGCTCACATCGTCATAGATGTTCCACAGCATTTTCGATTTATTGTAACTATGTCCCAATATTTTTTCGGCGCTTTTCTTTGCAATTCTGTACGCTATGGGGTCCACTACTTCGACTTATTCTTGTTATAACTGGCGTAGTGACGTAATAATCTAACGATGTATCTGACAAAAGCTTTGTCAAGGTTAACCAATCAAACCTTGCCAATGAATGAAAGACATAATGACTGTGCTTATGTCCTGATATTAGTCAGCTTATGGGGTGATTCAACTTCGGCCCGATTATCTCTACCCGCCCTTTTGTTTATGCTGTAGCTGCAGCACACGTTCGTTGACATTGATTGGATCATAATGGTGCTCTTAATACTTGATCGATTTAATTCTCAACAATCACCGCGATCGCCGTATAAATATAGGGATAGATTGAGACAGACGTACAAGTATCGATGTGGAATGAAACTGCTTACAGAGAGAGCTGTAGTTGTTCATTGCGAGTTGTTACAGGGGGATGGGGTTCTCCTCGGCTGACAGCTCTGCGATCAACAGAACCTTCATTTAACCGCCTTCTGCCGTTGCCGATAATCAAGTCCAATCAATCCACATTATTCGTGCGCGGTTCTGTAAATATTTTCAATGAACGATCAAAACAATTCGCTCTCACCTAATAATAAACAACTGATTTGTTTCTTTGTTGTTGAGTCTGACAACGAAACAGACAATTTGACAACAGGATGTCGTTAGAGATTGACGACAGATGGGTAGCTTGTTGCGCTGTAATTAGGTTTCCTCATACAGGTACATATGCAAACTCATATCAGTAAGGTTAACTTTTCAAGTAAGCACGTCATCAGACAGCGTTTTTTCAGAAGCGTCAGTTACTGATTTATTATTATTATTAGTAGTAGTAATAGTAGCATTATAATCTGTAATATGTAGAAGAATTATTACAGTATACTTCTAAAACTAAAAACGTTATTATATGAACTGCAGAATGAATGAATCGTAGGGGGCGATTACAAATAGGAATTTGTCTGTCGCTTTCATTTTACTTGCTACTGTTTTTTATCGTTCCCATTTTTGCTGCTTTACGTTAATTTTGATTCGTAACGAAGAGGCTTGAATTTTAGTAAATCGGACTCGTGAATGTTGAATAATATTTATTATTATTAATAATTCAAACCCGAGCACTGACAGCTATATCGCCCGTTAGAAATAGACAATTCGTTTTTGTTTATTTATTAATTATTTGTTTGTTTTGCTTTTTTTCTTTGATGTTTGTTTTTGTAAGAGTCATTCACGCATGATTAATATAATCACCATTATCATCATCATCCTTATCATAGTCATCATAAATAGCTATACTGGAACAGGAGCGTGATCACTAGCCGTCGTCTACATGACACCTATGTTTGAGAGAATGGAAAAAGGTACATCAATTAAGCCACGAGCTTACCCAGATGCACAAGATGTACGGCCGCAGAACACAGCCACTGCCTATTGATCGAGCATCGCTTCACCCGTGTTGTTGTTGCTGTTGTGTGTTTAAGGGACAACCCAGTAGTTGTAGTAATGGTCGAAGTAGCGGTAGAGTTGCAGCAGTTCTAGTCGAAGTAATAAAGGAGAGGACGACTTAATGGAAGGAAGTTGGGTCTTCATCTTCTGTTTTGTTTTCATTATTCTCATTATCGTCTCAGTGATGGGTGTAGCCTGGCGACTTGCCCGATGGATAGCGTTGACCTTGCTGGGTTTGATGGCCAGCGTTAGAACCATTCGGATTCCCACCGGCGCCCTGTCTGCCAACGGAGCCGCCCTGATTCATCATCTGTTGCTGGCCAGAATGGCCGCCGTATTGGGGAGTGGATCGTTGTCCACCAGCTGCTGGGTGATTCCCGCCACCACCGAATAGGCCGCTAGACCCAGATGAAGCCGGTGGTCCAAATGATGGAGGCCCCGCGGTGCCGCCCGCTTGCTTACTGCTGCCCACGCCAGACACGACAGGTCCGACGGTGCCCAATGAGGCCTGTCCAGGTCGCGACGGCCCAGGTTGTTGCTGCTGTTGCTGCTGGGCGGTATGTTGCTGACTTCCGTGGCCGTGGCCGACCGCCGCGTGTCCGTAAGGCGGAGGCGTACTCTGCTCATAGGAGGTCTGCTGCTGAGGTGGCTGTTGGCCACTAGCGTCCTTCATCGTTGCGCTGTATCGCGCTGCCGCCTGCGGGTTGTGACCGGCGTGCGCGTATATGCCAGCAGTTGAAAAAGCGGCCGCCGGCTGTGGGGGCGTCTGCATCGCCGCGGGGTAATGGCTGTGCCCACTTATGGCATGTTGGGCATAGTGCCCGCTTTGTTGGGCTGATCCATAAGGGCCAGCCGCCGTTGGGGTGGCTGTGGGGGCTGGAAAATATCCATGAGCTCGATATTGACTCTGCTGTTGTTGCTGTTGCTGAAAGCGATACAGATCCTGTTGCTGCTGTTGTTGGGAGAAGTACGGATATGAGTGATCACTTGCAGCGGCGGCACTTGAACCTGGTCCAGCCTGACCGGTCGCAGCCAAATGCGTATGGCCATGATGAGTTGCACCGGCTGGCGGCGGACTTTGGAACTGGGGGCCGTACATCTGCGCAGCGGCTGCCGCTGCTGCGGCGGAGTGCTGTTGAGCGGCGTACGCACGCATATGCGCTGGATCCAACGGTGTTTGGCCAGCGTGTGCAGCTGTCATGTGACCAGCTTGAGGATAGCCTGACGGGGTCATCTGATGATGAACGGAGCGCTGCACTGTTGCTGCACCTGCAGCAGCTGCCGCTGCCTGATGATGATATTTCGGCTGATGCTGAGGCAGCATCTGATAATACGGCTGCTGATGTTGCGGCTGTTGCGCCTGCTGCTGATGGCCCATTGTGGCAAGAGGCTGCTGTTGTTGTTGTTGCTGCTGCTGCGCTTGTTGCTGCTGTTTGCCTGACGGTTGCTGTTGTTGGCCACCAGCTGCAGCATAAGCTTGCTGGAAGCTCGACACAACTTGCGCAGAGGCGCCCATGTCCGTCTGTCCGACACTGACACCGACCTGTAAACTGCTACCGGAGGGGTCTTTGTGGCCTCCAGCTGGATCTTGGCCTGCCGACATCGGGAAGAAGGGCATTTGCGTTACGGTCTGCGGCCCACCCTGACCGCCATGCGACGATTGCTGGTGCGTCTGGGGTAACGGTGCACCAACAGCGCTTACGGGCTGACCTGAGCCGCTGACAACAGAGCCAGTGTGACTGTGAGTCTGGCTGCCGCTTTGTTGTCCAACAACCGCTTGAGTGTCAGCTGATGACGGGGTGGCAGTAGTATCCCAGACCTTCTTCACCGATTGAATCTTAAGATTTAGGTCTTCGCTCTCGCCGAAGTTGCCAAACTCTATTCCAGCCGGTCCAGAGGACGCGGTCACTTCAGAGTCGCCCCAGGCATTGGTACCAGCCTCCTTTTTCAATGACGCTGCTGGAGCAGGAACCTCTTTCTTCTGCGGAGGAGTACCGCTTCTTACGGTGCTGCCACTACCTCCGGACACTCCGGCCTTTTGCTGCTGGCTCGCGTGACCGCTGTCCTTTTTAGTTAAGCCAGTTCCGCTTGATTGCTGCTCGTTACCGCTACCGCCCTTTGGGCCTTCCTTCTTTTGTTGCTGCTGTTGCTGCGGTGTAGCTTGGTTTACATTGCTGTCCTGCTGCAGTTGCTTTTTGTCCTTTTGAAGGGTTGATTTTTCGCGGTTATTGCCTGCAGAGCCCTGATCCTGCTGCTTTTTTCCTTCCTGTTGCTGGCCCGACTTGACGCCACCTCGATCACGGTCGCCGCCTCGATCATCGCGACGATCTCGGTCGACTCTACCGCCGTCTTTGCCACGTCCGTCAGCTGCTCCTCCACTTCGGCCGCTTTCGCCTCCTCCTCCTCCTCCTCCTCCTCCCCCCTGGCGCCTGCTGGCGTTTTCGCGTTCACGTTCTCTATCCCGGTCCCCTCGATCCGCTCTATCCCGGTCACGATCTCCCCCTCTTTCCCTGTTGCCAGCAGCGGTCCCACCACCTTGCTGCTGTTTGCTGCCGCCAGTGTCGCGTTGTCGACGATCGCGGTCACCACCACCCCCGCCAAATTTGGCACCACCGCCACCGCGCTCGTCCTCTTCGGTCAATGCCTCATCGAAATCGTCGTGTCGGCGGAAGCGCGCCGTGGTGTCATCTTTACCCACACCGCCTTGGGCGCCTTGGGTATTTCTCTCCGAGCGACCACCCGGGGCGGAGCTGGTACCACTCCTGCCACCACTGCGCCCACCACCACTGCGAGCACCCGAGTCCTTGCCGCCACCGGCGGAGTAACCGGTGCCTCCACCAGAGCCGCTGCCCTTCTGCTGAGTGCCCGACCCGGTAGACCCAGGTCCAGACGCTCCGCTTCCGCGGTTGTCGGCAGAAGGGAACTGCTGCTGTCTAGATGAACTGGCCCCGCCTCGAGTGGGCGCTGCTCCGCCCCTGCCACCGCCCCTTCCGCGACGCGATGGTTCACCACGAGGGGAAAAGCCTCGCTGCTGCTCTTCGTCATTGGATGAGCCGACACCGTCACTCTCGTGCCCTCCGCCGTGGTGACTTAGGGAAGATGGCCCCGCACCCTTTTTGGAAGCTCCGCGACCTTTCAGTGATCCATCGGACTTATCCAGGGAGTCACTCTCGCTATCCTTCTTGCCGCTTCCGTCTATCGCAGCGACAACATCGGCAATGCAATTGCGTCACGTAAAAACAAGAGAATCGCAATTAGAATAACAACAGACTGAATCTAAATAAAGGCTTGCCTCCTTTAGCTCTCAAATTAAACAGTTCTCAGAAAGCATCTCACTTTAAAAAATAATAACAACGACTAGAGCCATTGACCATCACTCAAAGTCAGCTTCACCTACGCAAATCCTAGAATACTCACCTTTTTTAAGTGCTGAAAAGCCAGCTCTTTGTTGCTTCCCAGAAGAAGCAGAATTATCGTGCCCGTCAAGGCTGCTCCCACCTTGGTTGTCGGAGGAGCCCTGTCGATTGCCGTGGCCCCCGCCACTGCCCTGCTTGCCATGTTGCTGTTGCATTTGCCTCTGCTGCTGAGGGGTATCGAACAGTCCGCAACCTTGGTCCCCCCAAGCAGCTCCTCCGGCGTTTTTTCCACCGCCAGTGTGCTGATCCTGGGAGCTCCACATGTTGTCATGCGACTGGTGAGACTGGCCTCCTCCCGTCATTACGCCAGGACTTGGGCTCTTATTATCATCACCACGAAGGCTTCTAGCACGGTTCTCTTTATTCATTTGCCACACATTGCTGTCCTGTTGCTGTTCCATCATGAGGACGTTGCTATTGTTGTTGGATGAGCTGCTGTCAGAACGACTACGATTGTTCCCATCTGTGCCACTAGACGACTGTTGCTGACCGCCCCAGCCTCTGCCACCGTCACCCTGCTGTTGCTGTTGTTGCATCTGCTGACCGCCCCAGCCTCTGCCACCGTCACCCTGCTGTTGCTGTTGTTGCATCTGCTGACCGCCACCGCTCATGTGCATTTTGGCGAACCGCGGTGGCAGTTTATTCATGTCGACGACGCCACCTGAACCCCCACCGGGTCCCCGGCGATCCCTCTGTTGCGATAGACCCTGCTGGTCTTTTCGGCCACCCGACTGGTTATTTCGGCCACTGTTGCCACCGCAGTCTCCTGAACCGTAACCATCGCCACCTGACGACATCATCATCGAATAATGATCCCCATCAGCCCGCTCTGAGAGGCGTTTTTCAGAATCGCGTCGCATGGTGCGTGCCCGCTCCACACATTTCATCATTTCATTTCTAGCGCATTTCGCATTGTTGTTGGCTTTGTGGCGCCAACCTTCCTGCGAGTCCTCCTCAAACACGCATTGCTGGGCAGGTGCAGGTCCTCCACGTCTTTCTCCTCCGCTACCTTGGCCTCCCGACTCGCGACCGTCCTTCAAGCGGCCGTGGCGGCCTTCCCTCCAGGCATCGGGATCACGATGGTGCTGTGGCTCACCACCACCACGTCCTTCTTGCTGGCCTGAGGGGGTCCACAGCTGCTTCTGGCCCGGCTGCTCGCGGGCGGCCCCGTGCGCACTGCTCTGGTGATACCCACCGTGATAACCACCTCCGCCGCCCATTGGGGACGCCGAATCACGAGTGTCCCGTCGGCCTCCGCGTCCACCTCCTCCTCCTCCTTCATACATTTGTTGTTGTCCGCCACCAAAATCGCCGTCATCGCCAGTGTTCTCTTCCTCCTCGTCGGAGAAGCACAGCTTCGCGTTGTAGTCGATATCGCCTTTGGCTGCTGACCAGTCCGATTCACCGGTATTAAGAATACGGTCGAAGCCTTCGAGCTGCTGATCCGAGATGATCGTCGAGTGTTTGAGAACAGACTTCGAATGCGGGTCTACGTCACCTCCTCGGGGGTCGTTGCTCATTCCACGATCTCCGCCTCGTTCACGATCATTACGATAGCCACGCTCGCCGCGGGGTCCACGTCCGCCGCCACCACCACGTGGCCCCACTGGGCCACCGCTTTCGCGCTCGTCACGCTCACGTGTAAATAGCGGCTATAATATTTAGTCAAAGACAAAGGGGCAACTGAATGAATAAACGTACACGAACATCCTTTTTAGAGGAAGGATGCGCGACGTTTATGTGTATGCATGCACGCTGCTACACTAAAAATAACCTACTGGTGTTAAGTAATTCACGGAGCAAAACAAACGACAAACTTGGTAACATCATATATTGAAGCCTCTATTGCACTCTGGTGTCGAATAATATAATACACTACTACCAGTACAAAAATAGTTCTAACAAACCGTTGAAGTGCATTTATACAGAATGTTTAGAAAACAATGAATGATTGATGTTCCAGACAAGCACTACGTACATTATTATCGAATACATGGTATACGCAGAATTTTACAACAAATTCTATTGTTACTATCACTGTTGTGCCTAATGAAGTGCAATATTTACCGTTGTTCCGTTGGGCATGGTGGACACGCGGTGATCTCCGGGCGGTCCCTGCTGTTGGGCTCGATGGCCACCGTGTCCGCCGAGTCCTTTAGAAATTGTGGGCGGATAGCCCATCCCAAGAGGGTCACCGGGCGAAGAGCCGAGAGGTGACGGAGGCCTCGGCTTGAGCGCCAGACCGTTCACGCCACTGCCAGCGCTCGGTCCGCCCGTCTGGCCTGCGACCATGGCGCCCGCGCTTCCTTTCGACCAATTTGACTCGACGGGACGTAATGCTGGTCCTGGCCCGTACTGGGTTGCTGTACTGCCGCCACCCAGGCCGCCGACTCCGGCTCCAACTCCTGCTCCCGCTCCTCCTCCTCCAGCTCCAGCTGCTCCCTCCCGGTCCGCATTGCTGAGCGAGCCACCACCACCACCAGTTCCCGGGCCACCCGAGCCCCGGCCGCCACATTCGCCCGCCCCACCACCCGCTGTTTCGTTCTTGAGCGTTGGGAACTCGCCCGGAAAGAATGGCAGCTGGTTGTTGTTCCCATTGTGTTGACCCGGGCCGCCCTGGACCCCGGTTGCCACACTGCTCCACGTCTTGTTCCCTCCGCCTCCCCCGCCGCTGCCTCCCCCCTTGTTCATCATCATCATCATCGAGCCCTCCCGACCACCTCCTACTCCACCGACCGAAAGATTCCCCAGGCCGCCCAGGCCCCCAAGACCGTTCTCGCCACCAGGCGCCGTGCGGCCATCCAGGTGCGACATTGGTTGATCCGATGATTGTGGACTTGTATTGTTGTTGTTGCTGCTGTTGTTGTTGTTGTTGTTTGTCCCACTCCCGCCCCCCGACATTAAACCACCCGCCGCCCCCTGCCCCTGACCACTGCTCTTCGTGACACCCCATCCTTGACCTCCCGTAGGTACTAGAGTGACATTAGGGTTGTTGCCTGGAATGACGGGGAAGACAACCACAATCAAGAAATTAAAAAAAAGATATTTCATATATAGAAATGAGCGTGTGTACAGAAAAAGGCTAGGAAAGCAAACTGAAAGACATGTTGCGCAATTTCCGATCTATAGTTCTAGTCACATAAGAATAAAAAAATGTGAAAATAAGTTTCAGTCCGTACGACATTTTGTTTATTCTTATGTGTATATATTTAAGAGAAAAACCCATACCAAGATTTTCACTCTTCAGGCTGGGCAGCAGGGCAGGCGGCGGCATTCGCCGGCCCACCTGAACCTTTCCAAGCGATTGTAGTCCATGCTTCGCACCAGAGCCGATCGCCGACGACTTCGGACCCTCCAACGACTTGCCCTGTAAACCGAAATAGCATCGCGGGGTTAGTTATTGACAGTAGGTGAAAGTCATTATTGATACTTATCAAACTACATAATATAAATGTAAGAATTATTAAAGAAAAACACAAAATAAGACAACTATTAAATCGGTTTTGTGCTCGCTTTGGATCACCTACTAAAACGTATTAAAAAGTACACACCTGTGTACTCTAGTCCCACCGCGAAAGGCATTGCTTGTTTGGAACGACTTATCATGGTATTAGTATAACTATGCTTCCATTTAACTGAGAATTAGACAAGTGCTTACATAAACCTATGGGAAATCTTCATCACTTAATCAAAATTTTCGAAAAATAGCATACCTAACCCTGTTATGCAAAATAAATCTCCAGACAATGCTTATACATTAGCCGCAGTAAATATCCACAGCTGGTACATACACATACAGTATAAATAGATCAATTCACCGACCCGATACGAAAACCTCAGTCATGATATTCGAGTGGATTCGCCGACGCAATTTCAACTTAAAAAATCAATCTAAGTACACCCAAATAAAATTCTTACACCCGGTAATTCCGTTACGTATTGCTTCACACAGGTGGCCCCCAGCACGAAACCAAGTACGTCTATGTCCGGTTTTGGAAACTAATCCACTTAGTAAACAAACACGTTACTATTGCATCATCAAAAGACAGTTCAAATATACTTGTTCATAATATTAAGGCGTGTGGCTAAACGTTTCTATCTACATCGAAATTGACCCAATACGACAAAAGGCTATATTTTTACCATATTACCATGCAAATACAAAAAAAAATAGGTTTATTAAAGCGTGATGAAAAAGGACCCACTAAAAGAACCATGTATAATCCCCATATATTAACGTCACTAAGCGCTTATGTAAATCCATTCAGTGTTTCAATTTAAACACTGATTAGAAGTATAGTCTGGGTCAGTGAAACCCAACTATGTCGCTAGACCCCAAAATAATTCAATTCCAAGATAGTGTGAAGGAATAGAACGAAACTAAAAATAAGCTTTCGTTTGGCCTCTCTACCAAAACTATGCCCAATTCTGATGCGCTCTAACAAAAACTGTTCCTCCCTGGTTCACCTTCTTAGATACATCCATCAAGTATAGATGTTCACGAAATTTTTACGATAGCTTGGACGATTTCCCTGCCAGTCGCACGGAACAATGCTTCAGAAAGAAGTACTTTTAGTAAACTTTTAAAAATTCTGTATAGCACTATAAAGAGTACTTCTGAAAAAGAAAAGCTCACGGTCTAGGTGAATACATGTTGAATATTAATTGAAGATTGCAGTGCAGTGTTCTATGAGTCACGCTACCAAAACAGAATGTAAGTCAGAGAAACCAGCAGAAATCAGCAAAACGTAAAGTTGTTTGCTGATTGGTATGAAGCGAGTGTTACATTGTAGATTGGCATGTCAGTGATCAAAAGCTACTAAAGAAATAGATGTCTTACAAACATTACGGACTTATACAGACGCAGCACAGGTTTAACATCAAGCTTGATTTGGTCTGATAGCTAGCTAGCCACAGAAATGAAGCGGCTCATGCATGCAAGCTAAAGGCTTTCATTATTGTAATCACCTCATTATTGCAATAACCAATAACCGAAGTGCTTACTATCGATTTTTCAAGTATCATTGAACTTCTGAGCTGGTACTGCCAGTACTCTTCACTGACACCGCCATGTTAGTTTCGGGATGAACGCATGAACTTTTTTTCGAAATTGGCCATTGTGGAGTGCTCACCAGAAATCAATTGAGTTCCAGCTGAATCAACCATATGACATTAACATCCAGCATCTTCGCTGACCTCAACTGATCCGACAATTTTTCCGCATAAACTGACCGCATAAAATGACAGACAAGGACAGAAAATCTCACACGTTTAACCCAGTTAAGGCAAAGGAGAAAAACGGCACGCGTTTTAATATTGCTTATTATATTCTGAACCCAATGACAATAATTAAATCATCGATAAGAAACATCTCGGCCACTCCTAACTTTTCTGCCGTAATGCTTTGCTTTGCATGTAGATCGTTAGCTCCAAAATGAATGAAGCGTGTTTGACTCGTTAATGTAGGTGCACAAATGGTGATAATATTGATAACAAAAACGGACAATATCCGATGCCTCTGTATCTTCCCTTTTCACTTATTGTCTTAGTCACTTTCACCGAAACGGTGAAAAGACAACGAGAAGTCAATTGACGTACACCCTACTGAACAGACACCATAGCTAAGTAGGAAAGCAAGAGTGAAAAAAAAGTAATCTAACTTCTTGTTATTATATATTATATTAATTGTTATCAATTATGAAGGATAAAAATTTTGCAAAAAAAAGTTGCATATATCTAAAAAAAGATGGCAATGAGAAAGGAATCGTTTAACGTGAACCTAATGTCATACTTATAAAAATGAAGTAATCTGATTTACCCACAAATAATAATTAATGTCTCCACATTATTTTCATTTTTAAGATTCGTTCGAGTTTGCTGATTAGTCTGATCACACGTTGTTTAGTGGACTTGTACCCCTAGTTGTAACATTAACTCATTTAGATCGTAATCAAAATATGGTTAACTTGGTTTTTACTATAATCAGCGATGTATAATGCTATACGTACCTTGTAGATATTATTTATGTCTAGGGTGGCATAGGACTTCTTGGACTTGGATTCCCCCTTGTGAGCTAGCCCTGCAGCCGCAGACATGCTCGGAGCACATTGAGAGTCTGCCACGGTCTCTCCGGGGAACGTATGCTCCCTATAGATAAAAGAACATCAGGTGAAACAAGCTTAATTATTATTAGTATTACATATTAAATAAAATTTAATGGAGAAATTAAATCTACAATAGTGAATCAAGTTGTTTAAAATCAGGTAATAGCGTCTGTCAAAAGTTTGCTTTTGCAATCCAGATGCCATACTATTACCCCTAGTACTACTATACTAAGTAAATGCAATACTAGTTGTGTACGAAAATCCAATTGTGGCTACTGAGAGACAGTTTTTCATGTGAACGTTTCCTACAAGTCTCTTAAATAGTCGAAGTCAAGAATTTCACATGTATTTCACATGTCAACATTTATGCAAGCCAGTTCGAGGAAATAATTTTCCATTCAGTATTTGCTCTCTGTGAGAAGCTTTGCTTGAATTTGCCAGTCGATGATCTTTCATTAAGACTAACTGACAAATGTCAGAAATGACAGACAGATGAAAATGTCGTGCTTTAAACGTCTGCACATAAACAACAATGAAAAGATTTTGAACGATAAAAATAATAAATATGTGCATTTACTAAAAATCTATACTGTGTCATAAGCTATCTCATATACTCTGAAAAGTGACTCTCAGTTCCGAAATTACGTTGAACATCCTTTACGTACAACACAAAGGTGTTTGTGTTCCAGATATTTTGTGTATTTTGTGTAGCTGTTTGCTAGCTGTTTAACACATACATATACCTACATATACGCTTATACAAGTGAGCAGCAACTAAAGGAGCTTAATGCGTGAAGTTACCAGGTTAATATTTTGTTCAAGAGCAGATTCACTCTTTTCCCCGTTTGCCTCCTGCTCCTCCCGTTCAACTCATACGATATACCAAAAAAAAGTAGACGTAATGTCTTCAAGCGTTCTTCTATGTTACTTTACGTAGAATTACAAATGCAAAAGTAATTGGTAAAGGAAGATTGAGATATTAGGAAGCATTTCCAAGTAACGGAACTTGACCGCACGAATATCATTACGAATGGAACTAGACTTCGCCCGCCTATTCTTTCTTTTTTGTCCTAGCGTGCGCCCGAAATACTGAAAGAAGAATGCCGTACATCCTCGCGTTTTGAGCCAAAAAAATTTGCCGCTTCCTCCATTGGCGCTATGTGCTCACCTAGGTCGAGCATGATTTGATAGTCAGCCGAACATCAGTAAAGGCAGAATGGTGTCGTATAAAGACCAGCCCTAGTAGCAGCGCGCCAAACCTGTCTATTAATACCCCAGTCAACACACACAGACATTAACATAACGTGAAACAGACACAGTTCGATACGACAGCATTGTTCGAAGCGAAAAGCTTTATGCCAGACGTAACAAAAGACAGAATAACGTAAACTCTGAAATGCAAATAATGCAAACTTAGATAGAAACAATCTATGTTTCTATCTAATCTAAGTGTAGATAGAAACAATCTATGTTTCTATCTAATCTAAGTAGTGCAACCTTTCTCTCATCGTTACGCACCGCTATTCGCTTGTACACGTATTTTATCGTTTGAATTTTTTTTTTATTTCAAACGAACTTTAATCTTCAAACCTACAGCGCAGCCTTTGCAGATCCACTGTAGGAAACCGCTATGAAATGCATGAGTACAATTGCAGGCCATAAATTATAAACGAAATATGCAAACTCGCGTATTGATAATACTGTAGTGTAAGTGTGATCAACACTTCACAGTCATTTCTTCCCTAGTCCGAGATAAATGAATCAGATATTGGGCATCGCTGTGGACCGAGAGTCATGTGAAACAAGTCCTAATAACAAGATATCGGTGCTTAAACTGAATACGTAATTATCGATGGTTACCCATATAGATCTCAGCAAACTTTTACTAAAGTCACATACGTTGGCTATAATTAGTTTTGATTTCGGTGCACGCAACCGAATAAACGACGCTATCGTATATGAAATACTCAAGAAAATCTGACTCGACACTCGAATAAAAGAACTTTACCCAAAGATGAAGGCAACTTACGGTTACGCAGTTATTATACAACCGTGACAACGTTTTAACCAATTGATGGCTCTTGTTGCTAACAAAAATGTTTTTATTAATAAAACATTTTTTTATTGTTGACTTCGTAAGATTCACGATTTTTCATAAAAGAAAGTATTTTTTTGCCAAATAATATAAAAGACAACACGAGATTTATGCGTGCATCCCTTCCTATTTGCCTGTTCAACCGGGTTCGTCTGGGATGGGTAATTCTGAACAAGATATATAAAAAAACGGTTTAATAATAATCATAATACACGTATGGTTTCTATATGCAGCATTTCTCTTGGACGATGTTTTGGTTTGACACATTCATAAAAACTATAGCATATTACCACGCGCAAAATTAACACTCCGTGATACGTTTTCCACATGGCTGGCCCATGGGTCCACTTTATTGTTCTCAGCTATTTTCCTTCTCTTGATTGGGCTAAACAATCGTCTCTTTTTTTTTTCGAAAGAAATCATGGAGAAAAATAGATTTCAGGCGGTGATCTCCAGCGATAGGCGCTAATAGAGCTCAGGAAATTATATTTTCAATAGGAGTACGAAGCGCCAACAACACCGCCCTTTAAAAGTTGACGTTTCTTAATATAGAAATATGGAAGAAATAGCTTTTTAAAAAACACCCGATTTTGTGAAAGCTATGGCCTGAGTAAATCAGGGCATTTTGATAAATTTATTTTTTCAACGCCCACTTAATGTCAGTTGATCTAAAAAAACTTAGCTGTAGAAAGGCAAATGGTGAGTATCTTTAATGCGCCATGCTTTTCAGCTTTCAAATGAAATTAACCTATATTATAACCGGTTACTTAAGGCTGTACAGCTCGGCTATGCTTTTTTATTTAGTACGAGGTAGATGTTGACTAAATTTGCAAAAATATTTTTGTAGTTGCTGATGTAGGTGTACTACTTTTTCAACACAATCAAATGTCCTCGCAGAAGTAGCTTTTTTTTTTTTTAGTTACTCTATCTGATTATGTCACATCAAGCGTTAAAAATGTTTAATAACGACAAAGCTAATTGAAAGGCATCCGTTGTTTCCGGGTGTACCCTCGGGATAAGATCCACTAAATAGAAAGGAGAAACTTTTTGTAATTGAGAGTTCCGTAATGGAGAAATAGCCTTCGTCGGCTAAAAATGCGTAATATCTTTAAAAAACAGACCAAGTTTTTCTCATTTCTACCAACCGTTGATTATTGTTATTGATCGCCACTTCGAGCGTTTGCTGTGATCTCATTGTACAGACTAACTATAAGGTCAACCATTTTTAAATTCCCGTTACGGTATTCTGTTGTGTCGATAATTATCACGGCGAGTTACTCCACAACTCTTATATTGTTTCGGCATTTCAAAGCTGAAAACAAATTGATGAATCTACACCTACATCTCTTGATTTTTTGCTATTCGATATTTTTAATCACGTAACCGAAATGGGTACTAAACCAAAGAGTAGATTCTCATGTACGTGCACATACACGAAAATCTACTCTTCGAGAAAGCTATTACATAACTATCTCAATCGACCATGTACTTCTCACACGATCAAATATATCAATACGTGATATTTATCGAATCCTTTTTAATACAAAACTCTATTTTTTATGCTTGAATTATCTATCGGCATCCCAAGGCCGCATTGGTAAAATCCTCGAAGAATTGCCTTCGAATTTTGGGACAAACATTAAACACGCTATATAGTATGTTTTCACGGTTGCTGCATAATATACGTCGTTGGCGGTGCTTGAACCAGTGAAACAATCTTTTTAACCAGAAGTTTAACTACATACATACATATATATACAAACATGATAGGGCTGACGAATTCGACGAAACGTGTAAATCAACAACGAATGCTGCCGCTATTGCTGCCACCACCATCATCCTCGTCAGCGTCGTCTTCTTTTCCCGCGTAAAGCGAAGGAGCAAAGCAGCGCCGCAGGGTACAAGCCGCAGCAACAGCAGCCGACCAACTGCTCAATGCAGCATTAGATCAACTACTATCATCAACCAACTGATGGAAGTAGCAACCGCGTTTCAGCGGCGACGATGACAACGACGACGACGACAACTACGACAATGGCCGACAGACGACAGACGGACAAACCGTTTTGCCACCGTCCATACAACGTAAAAACTATAGCAGCAGCCGTCGCCGGCTGTATACGAGGAGGGAAGGCTGAACATTGTTGTTGTTGCTAGTGTTGGCAATCGAAAAGGTAAATTTGCTTGTCCCCGTCGTCGTCCGTTTCTCATTCTGTCTGTCTGTTTGTCTGCCTGCCTGCCTGCCTGCCTACTTCTTAGCTGTATCTTGTGTCGTTTAACTCTCTTTCTCGCTCTGCCTGCCTCCACGGCTCCCATAGCGAAGCAGCGGCGGCGGCAACACCGACACCAGTCGATTGAACAATGAACAAATGAAAACATTAGAGCTGGTGGCGACAGCACCGCAGACTTTAACTATACGCCGCCACTATCACGATTACACTTTGGCGGACTTAGACGTCAACACACACGACCATAATGCTTCTGCACACATACACCATGTGTGTATGTGTAGTAATAATGTGGATACACAAAGGGAGAACTAAAAAACCATATCGAGCAATACGCACAAATAGACAAATGACGATCAATTATTCTATAGGTAGAATCAGCTATGTTTTTCACATTTTTACTATTGATACGCTGTACTGGTCCTAATTAGTATGATCCTCCAAGTACTTATGATCGTTATAACTATTTAGAAATGGCACCATGGCTACGGCAGATCAGAGCTCTTAAAGACCAAATACGAAACAAAAATATGCTTGGTGTGCGGGGGAGTGGGAAGGGTGGGGTTTTTTTCGCTAAAGATACCATTCTCAGTTACCAGCCGCTCTCTGCTGACGACAAGTTTGGTCAGTTATCCAACGGCGGACTGAGAACGAACCACAACTGCAGTTAATTCTGACCTCAAGAGCCACCCACATAATAAGCCTGCCTAGTGCCCGAAGCATCGGCACCACTACGATGACGAACAGACCCAACCTGCCCTCAGATCCAATCCAATATCGGCCGGCTATTGCGAGGTCTACCAAATTGGAATCGAGACGTTTTGCTGTCGGTCCTACAGAGACAGTTCATACTGCGTTAACGACCGGCAGACGCAGCAGCTGCAGCAGTAGGCACTCGTTGCCGTTACTCCTGACGGCAGCAAGCTCGACCACGATCACGAAGTGGTCATGGCAAGCGGTGACCACTGCCGAAGCCGCTTTTGGATAAACGATATCATAATGCTGCTACCAAATAGAAACAGCAGCAATGCTAGAAGTAGTGCCCGTAGCAAGAAGAACACGTAGTAAGAGTAGCAAACACCCCCTCCGCCCTCTATCATCATCGCTCACTGAGGTGAACTGTGGTGGTGGGTGATGCTGCGACGATGTGTCGAGCTGAGCTCAGCGACGCACGACCACGATGGGTTTCTCTTGGGGTCAGTCAACCCAGGGAACACCGTACCCACGACCTCCAGCAGCATCCACAGTAACAGTCTGTACTTATTGAGTGAGTGTAAGGACTAGCATTAGCACTAGCACAGGCAACTATGGGAGATACTATTATTATGAGCACAAACTTCACCTGGCCGAAAGCCTATACCCCCTGCATCCTGAATATGCACACGAAAGCCATGATCGCAGTAGTACCCTGACTGTAGTATTCATTCCGTTAAGCAACTCTTTTTCTAATCAGCCATCGTCTCAGTTTTCGGAACGAGCGGGTGCCCGACGCACACAATGACTGATGAGTCTATATGACTGATTTCGTTGTGGGCGATTGCTTTACTGTCGCTTATTCGAGGAAATACGTCGAACAAATACGAAGCCCAACCGTTTTACAGACCATCTCGAAATTGACGGCAAACAGAGAGATATTTGTATATATTAATTGATACCATTAATATAGATATATGCTGCAGCCGCTGGTTGGTAATAATTGCAGCTAACGAGACCCGATTATCGAAAACACAAACGTATCAATGATTTTAATCTGCGGTGCTACCGCGCCCTGATTGCGAGAGAGTAATGCTTTGAGATGTTCACATCCCGCAAGCCGTTCCGATTCGCACAGCGTTTAGGCCTACGGACGCCGGGGGGGTGATGGCCGCGTTCGAGGCATCACCATCAGCGGGCGTTTTTGCGTTCGAGGCAGTTCCCTTTTCCTGGGACTACACCGCTGCTTTCCCATTCGTCAACGGGTGGGACCGGCTTGCAGCGGTGTCCCAGAAACGGGGATTGATTCGCGTAGCCCGAGCAAAATATTAGTATTTAGGCCGGCCATAGTAAGGATACAAGTCAGTCACCGCAAGCGACCGTTCGGTAACGAAGACACAGAATCATCCGCTTGTCGACAAAATATCGCTATGCAACTCACCTCGGATGACGAAGAGATCCCTTTTGAAACGAACTGAGCTTCTATTACAAAATGCACAGTCCAGAACCGACCCGATTTGTACGGATTGCGTTTCGGCTTCGCGTCGTATGCGTAGTTATCCGTTAAACCGTTTCCTTCGGCAGCAGCAGCAGCGGCTCGGCACACACAGCACCACTCACAGACAAAACAGCGCACACAATATCCTTCCTTGGTCGTTCGCAGCTACTCGTCTACGAGAGACCAGCTTGCAGCAGCGACCAATCCAAGATGGCTGCCGCTTGCTCACCGAACAACGCCACAAAACAAAACCACCAGAGAGCAACGGATGTGACGTCACCGAGCGAGTGGGGAGCCAGCATCATTGCGCGCCAAAATTCGAACACGTGTCAAACACCTAGTCGAAACGGACGAGTTAAAAAGGAAGTGCTGTCACGAGAAGATCGACGCAAACCACATTTTAAGTGCGTGTAAAAATAGACGACAATTTGAAAAAAAAACACTTTCACATGCAGAATCCTCAGTTGATAGTCTCTAGCTTCAAACTGTTTCGTTCTTTGCGAATGGTTGTTGATCGAAAACTGTAAAATTCAAACGCTGTGTTCGCTGTACTGCACTTGACAACTGCATTGCATTGATGAATTGAAAAAATATACATAGCGGACTGAAATGTAGCAAAAGGGGAAAACAGATTTGCATTACCATATGATATACAAGGACAAACTCAACCAGCTTAGGTAAATAAAACTAAACTTTTGTTTTTATTAATTTAATTGACTGATATTTCCAAGCTCATCTAGGAATGTTAATACTGATTATGAATGTCCCCATAAATCCTTAGAAAGCCCACAGCCTATCTTTGTGAATAATGGCACTATGCAGTAGTAATTTTTCTTCAATAATGGATTATTTTCTTTATCAACGTATATCTTACTAGAAACCTTGCTGGATATACATGTTTTTAAATATAGCGAGAAAACTTTTCAAACTCAATTCTTAATCAGTAATTTATGACGGTGTTTTTATTCAAGGAGAAACAGCCGGTTTACACGACCGTTAGGATGTGCAACAAATGCTTTCATAGACAAAAAGTATCAAGATAGGCAGCAGCAGCAACAATTAATATTAAGTAAAGCTTGAGGTAAGTTGTAGATGTTGAATAAATGAATTTGGAAAGCATGCATCTAGTGAAAAGTATCCCAGGATTAAATTTGCCTGAATTATCTTAATATACAGGTGTAATTTATTCAGAAGTTTCTAAATCCCGAACTAAATGTTCAAAGTTATAAAAATCTTGGCAATGCAAAGAAAAGAATAAAGGGATACTAATTTAGTGCTATAACACTAACATTTATGTTAGTACCCTATCCTGGCGCGTTTTCATCAGTGTAATTCTCTAGTAAGTAAGAGCTAGCCGCGAAAACTTCATCAACTGTGTTCTTCAACTGCGAAGCTGAATGAAAATACCCGAAAATAATACATCGCAAGAAAAGAAAAACACATCGAAGGCCTTCGCTAAATTTTTCTCATAATTAATATCCTGGTTATACAAAATCGGACATTCACAACTTGTTTTGCTTAGTTTAGTATCATGGCAATTTTAATTGAATTTTTTTCAAGCAAGAAATTTAATTGAATACATAATACACCCTACATAATCAACACACACAGAGACAATAACCGGTCTGTATATGCCTTGTTCGCTTCAGCGTATTATGAGTAGTTTATTTACTGCATATGCGTCATGAAATCGGTTATTGTATCTCTGAGAGATCATGATGATTATTAATTACCATAATCTAACAGTGATTCGGTAAGGAGAACCCACTGAAGGATATTGAAGGATGAGTTCAGTCGGTTCGACTTAGTACGCCTTTAAATTTTTTATATTTACCTCATTCATACAAAAGCTGTCTGTTCTACCATAAGAAGACAATTTATCTGAATTAATTGTACAATTATATACACTCTGCGATGACAATTTCTTCACTCATTTCTTTTACGTACACACGCTACTATGCTGTATACTTAGCTCAGTGAGATCCGGGGGAAGAGTTTGATCGAAACTTCAACAAATAGTTAGGCCTTCTTATGAAAAGGCCGTCCGATCTATTAATCGTCACTGCCTTTTCAAGTGTGATACATTAATTCAAATCTTACATTTAATCTCTTAAGGACATTAATTAATGTCCTGTAAGATTTGAGAAACTTCTCGCTATATTTAAATATTATATAGTAATTATTTAGGAGACTAGTACGAATTAAATTATTCTATGAGCTCAAAAGATATTTTTCAGAATTCTTCCAAATTGATAACGTGATACATGACGGGGTGTCGAGACTTCCCTATTTAATATTCGATCGGCCGCTATCTTAAACACAATACTATCGTTTTGACACGATCAAACACAAATGATCACTCTGGCATTCGCTTTCGAGCGTTCCTTTCACTGTGAGTTTCAGTTGAAAACATAAGCTAACGTTTAAAATGTTTCTTCAAGTAAAATTATTTTCTTAAATTATTTACACTAGATATTAGGGTTCTTAGGACTGTAATCTTTTCCAGCGCGTCACCCCAATGACAGAGCCTCCTGCACTTAGATATTTCTGCGCACTCGCATCTCACCCATCTTGAACCGAAGTAGTAAAGTGTATTCAGTAGCAAACATTAATGATGACATATTGGCAAGTGCCTTTAAAGGATACTAAGAAAAAATAGAACAATTTTACTTGTGGGCGATTTAATGCGAATAAGTGCGTCGAATGCTATGTCTTTGTGTCATCCGCGATACCGCAGCGGCAACAAAGAAAGGAAATTAAAGTATCAGTTTTTCTTTTTTATAAAGCTATAAAATTTAGTTCGCAAGGCAAAGTGTCGTGAGTCAGAAATTAGTTAATATTATAAGATAATATATGTGGATGTGAGTTACTAGCTAATATAGCGTACATTAAACAGGATTTTGTCGAAATGATTACAAAATAGACAACCTTTTTTCGATTAATTTCATAATCATCCCAATTTCAGCGAAAAGAAAACATAGTTCAACAGACGTTCTGACACGCATTTTTACACAGCTTTATTTGTTCCAGAACAAATAGCGCTTACGTGTATATTTTTATTATCTATTGTCTGGAAAGAGATTTTTTTGGTATATACGTCTGGTTTAGACGTGACAGTCCGTACCTGCGGAATCGACCATGGCAGGTTCCAAATACATTGTACCACAGGCTGTCTTGCAGTCCATACCAACAAATAATAGAAATGTTTTTATCGATTTAATTTTTATGTAATAGTCCACGAAGCTCTGGTTTGATCCAACGAAGCAACATTGATTGATGATGTTGTGGAATAATGACGTAAATGCATAAAAAAATCAAGTACCGAAAACTATACGTCTAGGGCTCAAGAAGTGGCAATAGCATCCAAATAAAGACAGAAATTAATACGGGTGGAAAATGATGGCTTGCTCATTAACTTATTGCCTGATGGATAGGTAAAGTTTGTCTTTGATTTTCTGCTTCTCCGGATTCAAGCGCTTAAGAATTTGGGCAATTAGGTTGACCAACTGATCTGAGGTGAGGCCAGTTTTCTTTGATTTGAACTTCTGCAGAAGCTCCGTTGTGGTCATCGGCTTTCGCATGAGATACCTTTAATTAAAACAGACCATACAGATCATGTTAAAATGCTCGGCAGTATAGTTTCTAGTATCAGCTTCTCGTTGCAAGTATAGCTTATAGTTCCATTTTGTTTAGGTAGTTCTTTTTACAATCAGTACTCCATGACTGCAGGAATCAGTTGATCATAAAAAAAGAAAAAGTGTTGAACTTCATCATTGTTTAGATCAACTAATCAGGCTGTAATGGAAATCACCTGACCTGGCATTACGATACTGTTGATAATAGTGAATGCATTGTTCTGTGCAATATATACCTTCGCACGGCCTCTTCGTTAATTCCTTCGACCTGCGCCAGCGGAGTGTTGTCAACCCCTCCACGAGACCCTGAGGGGCCTACAGTAGCAACCGTTGAACTGTTGTTGCTGCTGCTACTGCTGCCACCGTTATTAAGGTTGATTCCGAGGTTCAGTTCGATTTTTGGCTTCTTCGTTGCTTGCTCCAAGCCGGCACTAAAAGAGAATTTACAGATAACAACATGCATAAAACAACAAGTTAAGGATCAGGTGTGCGGATATGAGATAGCCAAGGGTTTTTAGTACATGTCAAGGTATCCGAATTATTTGTTTTTAATATTTAATTTTTACACTGGGTCATCTTTATAGAAGCTGCAGTTGAATAATATTGAAGCTTCTCGTACAATGATATCGTTCACTACAGCGATTTCACTGAAAGTAGTCGAATATTAGTAAAGAATATACCCCGTCAAAGCCATTTATTGAATCAAAAAAGAGCCGGATCTAAAGGCTAGTTTCGAACTGTTTTCCCCTCGCATAATATGTGATATTTCATTGTTAAAATTATAAGGCTTGGTAGCATTTGATTCTACTAGATGAACCTGTCCTTGTCGCAAATTTTATGAGATTATAAACGCTTACTATGAAGTAAGTAGAGATGATTTTTCATGAAAAGCCTTAAGTACCATGACCAGTACTGCGTTAGCACTGCATCAGAATAATACAATGTATCTGTCCCAAAATATGAACTCAAGACATATGTCTCAGGATTTGGTAGGCATCAACATTGGACTGAAGAGAGGGTTAGATCATTTATTAGCGGTACTTTTCTGCCAAATGGTATATTAGTAAGCAGAGACGTTGCAGTTGCAATATCACAAGAACATCCACGAAACCGACGTTTCCGTATTACATTCCAATGGAGGTTAATAATCAGTTCTTATACTCTGTTTGAAATAGATGCAAATTGCGTGTTTGCATGAGGTAAACTCGTAACCAGTCTACTAATAGCACGTGATCAATTTTAAGGCAGAAAGCCTCAAAAACAAGGAACATACCTTGGTAAATGTGACTGCTGAGTCCCATGCTGCGACGGTCCTTGCGTAGATGTACCCTGTCCTTCCTTTGTAGGTGTTTCTTCTTTCTTGCGCTTGATAGATCCCCCGGGAGCTTTCACTTTTTTCAAAATCCCGTTTGTTCCGTTAATGACATCTTTAGTAGGCGTTCCTGAACGCGAGCCTCCGTCTTTGCGTTTTCCCTGTAATAATGCATTGAAAATAAGACTAGATAACGTTTTCCCTACGTCATTATTCAGTGACGAACGCAAGTTGCGCGGACCAATTTTCCTGGTGCCCTGGTAAGAGGAAATACCTCACGTGACTCACCTATTTGTGAGTCTAGTCTTGACATTTTTGTAGTTGTAGATGCAACGATTTCATGCTCTGATATGAAAATCCAGATGCAATACGGCTCAAAGAATGGGCCTGCTTAAACCACTATGTGATTTAGGCTAATGCTCATGTGTAAATCTAAGGCATGTCTACTGAGAAAAGCATCTGATCCCATATATATACGTATGAGTTGTGTAATGCGATCGATGTTTAGCTGGCAAGTTCAGGCTCAAGGTACCCGCGTTTCGTTCTTTGTCAAGTTGATCGCCCTTCGCCTTAATTACATTCTCATATGCTCCAATGAACCCCGACCGTGGCAGTCTATAAAGCAGAAAGTAAACAATTTAAATGTTTTATTCCTAACCTGCATAAAAACAGCGCTGCTTCCTAGTAACCGTGAGTCGTCAAGATCCGAATCGGAATTTTCTGACGAGCTTTCGTCCGAACTTTTACCACCTCCAGCCGAATTTTTATTGGCTCCACGGTCACTACCACCCTTGCCTCCGGAATCTTTGTCCCCGCCTGAACTTTTTTTGCCATCTTTTCCTTTTCCATCACCAGTCTTGTCACCGTCTTCTTCTATGTGCACGAAATAACAACCGCAAAGAAATTGAAAAGTTTATTTATGTCATTCAGAAACTATAGTGTGTCTACGCATCAATACTATCAATATTTACAATATTACTATTTCTTTAAATGCTAAATTTTTCATTCATAAAGTTACATGAAGCATAACAGTATTTTACATTTACAGATGTATAGGAAACATTCATTTTTGTTATTCTGCGGCGTCAACTGTTACCATGAATGGCACAGCATGTCTTTTATCTCTGTCCCCTTACGAACCATTTTTATTTTCGTCGTCTTCGTCCTTTTTGTTCTCATCATCTTCATCGTCGTCTTCATCAGAGAGTACTAACTGTCGAAGAGCATCTTCGTCTTCCACTCCTTAAAATACATAGTACACACAAATGAAAATGACAAAAAATTGAAAGTAAATGTTCCCTAAGGTTCGATTGAAATATATATTCGCACAGCTTTAGCTAGTGCTTTTAGTAGTCCAAATTGCCAATGGGAAAAATTCGGTCGGGAGTTCAATAACTTTCACCTAACAAAACACGCAATATTTCACTCAATTTCTTGCCACAAATCAATTTATCATATATTTTTAATGACCTTTTTTTATTTGTGAATCAATTTATGAATTCATTCCCGCCAGAAATGGTTATGTCTAGTATTGAAGGATTCTTCCAGTTAGGTTTTGATGCTCTTTTCACTGTCAGAGATACAGTTCCAGTTTCGACCATTAGTGATTGAAAAGTGTGGTGATCCGTAACTGCGAGGTTGTACAAATTTTATGGGTGGAGAAAATCCCGTACTCGAACCCGTACACGCGCCTTTGACAATCCCTGCCATGTGCGAATTCGCGTGCCAATGGAAACGATCATTTTGCTTCATACATTGGGTCTTTTCTATGGGGTAGCCTTGTTCACCCAACTGAACCAAATGCAGATGTTTGTTAACGATCTTGTTCATCCCAAATATTTCCCAGATTTTTAGATCCTTTCAGTTGCACCGAACGCAAATCACTGTCTTCTTGGCAAGGAGCTCAGACATAACTCTGGATTGAAAGCATCTGAACTATGTTCTCTATTTTCTGTTTTATGCCAATAAGGAGATACCACATTTCGTCACAGATGATGATGATGATTGTGGGTAGAACCTTGTCGTCGTGGCTGTTATATGGTGATAGGGAGATGTTGAGAGACAAGAAAGAGCCGTATTTCTTCGTGGCGTTCACTTGGTCTATGGAGTATCCAGACTCCTAATTTTTGAGTAAACCCCATAGGCTGAGAATGCTTGTCGATAGTCACATGACTACGGTTTATTTTTTCGCCTAACTAATTGACGAAATGTTCGCCGACCGTCTTCCTTTAAAAGTGCCTTCAATCGATCCTCATAGACCTCAGACGGCCAATCTAAGTGGTACGCTTATTTCAGTTCCGAGAAGCAATTTTTGAGGTGTCGTCTTAGTTATGGGGCCGTAGTTGTACATGGCATAAATCTGTCGTGCCACTACGACAACTCTTTGACCTCAGGGAAAGGTTAAATAAAGTAGGCGCCGGAACAGTACTTGTATATTCACCCAGAGCCTCCATCTTGGAATCTATGATTCGACATAAACTTCCGTTTATGCCACAGTGAAATTAAAGCGGAGTCACAAAGGGCAGAAAGCGTTTTCGACCATATATATAGAAGTAAATCAGCAGTGAATAGATTAAATGGAAAAGAGACATTGAAAATAAATATAAGGAGCCCTTATGTTCCAGCCTGGTAATTAATTAAACGCCCGAATTAAACGACAGCAGTGTGGCATGAATAAAATGTATACACGAGTTCCTGTAAGTTCCTGCTGAAGGTTTTTTCACCTTTCAGTTGTTTGTTGACTTTCTCATCTTCGGGTTCATCTCCGGATGACTCACTTCCCGAAGTCATGTAGCTCACTTCTCTACCGTCGAAATCTCCTTCATCGGACTCTTCCTGAGCGGACGAATCGCTTTCTTGAGATTTTTTGTCCTGAAAAAAGAAATTGAGGCGTAAGCACAACACTAATATAACAAGAACTGTTCCTTATATAATGAAAGGAGATTTGAGTCCATTGTAAAGCGCTAATTTCGAAAACTTCATAACATCTCCTGTATAATCACGACCATACAATATTTGGTTACATACCTTCTTTTTCTGGTCTTTTCGTTTTTTCTTTTTTTTAGCAGCTTCTTCTTCTGCATTGTCGCCACCGGACTCAGCGCCGGAGAAGTCAGAGTCACCATGCCAGTCGTCCATGTCCGTCAGTTTGAGGCTCTCGCGACTCTTCTGTAAAAAGTTATTTTTATAATACGCTACAAAACCGATTAATATAGCAGTAACTTACATCTCAGTCATTGTCATACCTTTATGCGCAGTCAGATACAGAACCGTCAAATTCTCCTCGTATGAACGATCTACAACATGTTTATATGTATACCCTTATTTCGTAGTATTGTGTCGATAATAAAAAAACCATGCGCACAGATATTTCGCCGACACGTTCTTTTAAAAGAATTGGTGAAACGTGTGAGTAATAATTATATCATTGTAACTTCTGACTTCTGAACTCTCACCGCGAGAATCCTTACTATAACCTAGTAGTATGTAATTTTCACATAGCAGGCATTTAGAGAATGTTTCTACCTAGGCAGAAGATCATGAAATTACATCGGAGTTCTACTTTCTATCTGCTCGAGTGATATAAATGATCGCGATCATTCACGGATCAAACCAAGATGTGAGAAATACGTAGTTTTGTATTTATGTGTAACCACAATGCCTGAGTAATGTCACTAAGAAACCCAGAAAAATGTTACTTAATTCTACAATCAAATGAAGAGTCATCTTCACGATGGTTACCTTGGAAGAAGATCCTGGTTCCTTGGTAGAGGCCCCGTCCTTATCTTCCTCGAAGGTTGTTCCTTGCGCTTCAGCCAATCGCTTTTTGACCATGATAGCGAAATGGTTGATGATTTTGTCTCTCTGGCTATACGCGTCCTCGGCCTCTTCGGCAGTCAAAGCCTATACACGAAATAACAGAATCAGGACAAATTGGTTTACTCAGGATACGGTAATGACTAGCGCTTTCACATACAATTTTGTACAGTAGTTTTGGACCAAGATAACAGGGTATCAAAATAACTAATTTATGTATTGGTCTATTTTGCCTTTGTGGTAAGCTTGTGGCCAAGCTGAAGTTAAGATACAGTACAGTCTGGTTTCCCTTGTAGCAAGAAGAACCTCTTTTCAATATTAATTTTTAACCAACCCTTAAATGAGCTAGAACTAATCGATCTCGACAAAGATGGCTATGTAAAATGGCTACTATTATATGTATATGTGATATGTAAAAATATCCCACTAATTGCAGCCAGTTGTATTTAATATCAACCAGTTACTGGTTACTACCAAAATGTAATCTTCTCACAGGTCCCTCATTATATCTCAAGCGACGGAACCGCTTAAAATGTTGCAAAACTTGGATGCAAATAGACCAAATATTTTCTAGAATATTTTTATACTAAAAATCTATTACATTTTGTTACATCAAAGAGAATATTTTACCTTGTATCGCTGTATAGGAGTGAAATTGTACCATTCATCTACTGGGTATGCTTCGAAAACGCCATCGGGTGCTTTAGAAAAGACGTAGTACGACGCGTTTTCCATTACTCCACCTTCACGGATCCCTTTAAATTTCTTCCCTAAACGTAGGAATTAATGACCAACTCTTAATGAATTTCTTCTTGCACTACAGTGATTTATATGAAAACCATAATTTTGAAAATAATTCAATTTTCGCCGCCTAATGAACGATTGATCTACCTCCTTAGTTCGCAATTTCGATAAATAGCATCATTGAACCAAAACTGACCATTTACATTCCTTCTAAAAGCCTGCATGTCATTTACAAATGATAATTTTTGCAATGTGGTATCTGGGATGTGTAGTGATACCCGAATCTTCATTTATTACCTTGCTTTCCGCCAACCCGAAGGTGCCATGGCTGGTCATCTGGATTGTATTTTTTGCGAACTATTCCGAATTTCTTGCGCCTAGCTTCATCCTATAACGTGACAAGCAGACACGTGCAACACATAAAGGATAGCTCTAATTATGTTTCGACCCTTAAGAAACACCAACTTAAACAAAAAACTGCAACATAATGCGTATTTGTATTACATATGATGTTGCGAAAACACTTCCTTCACAATAATTTTTTACGCGGATGTTTAAAAACACGAGTTAAAGTCTAAACGCCATTTTAAAGCACGACTAACTACGACGTCCTGATTAAAGGTAATGAAAGGATTAGGAGCTTGATTATTTTATAGTTAGTCAAGTTTAAGTGAAGTCTGCTTTGTATTTGAGTATGGAAATCGACACTATGTTCTAAACAACTGATATATAAAAAATGTGTGAGATAAGTTTTGTGTTGGCGGAGCTATTTCCTTACTTTTAGTTCACGCCCATATTCAGAGCCTGCTCCATATTTGGGGAGTTCATCCGACTCCGTGCGATATTCTTTAAGATTGTTTTCGCGCTCCATGCGGACTTGGCTCCATTCTGCAACAGAAAAATCGATAGATTTACTCCTATCGTATACGATGAATGGGGAAGTAGGCTGCAAATATCCTATTGGTTGCATTAGGCTGTATTATTATTTGCTATGATACAAACCTTGAAACAAGCCCTCAGTGGCTTTACAAATGCTAAAAGCTAAGAAACAATGTATGGATAAAGCAGCAGACTCCACATGAAATAACATAGGCTGTATCATATATTTATTGTTCGGATCTGCAAATGTAGAATAATATATGAGAATTTTGTTATATTTGCTTGGCAACATACAATGTTATGCACATAGAAAAAACTCTTCAATTCATGCAAAACAGACGGGCGTCGTCTAAGTGGTAAATCAAGGTTCTTTTAAAAAAGTTTCAAATCTTCTTTTTCAGAAACTTGACTGTATACAGTTGCATATTATACAAAAACCCACACATGAGGATATGGCGTGACCAAAAAAAACATTTAAAATTATGAAAGAATTCGATCACAGATTTCTTTATTGACTCCTTATTGAATACAGCATCTGTTTCATGACACTTCTAGTATTTAAATGTTTACTCCAAAAATTTCAATATAGATAACAAATTATTGTTACTTTAAATATTTGCAATGTATTTCCGTCTGGCTGCGATACGAAGGATAAATTGCAATGTTAAAACTGAAAGGAACGTACTTGTATGGATGCGCCTTAAGCCAGTAAATTAAAAACACTTCTTTTTTAATGTAATGTTCCAAGGAATGTTGTCGACTGGATATCTGATTGTTGATAAGAAAAATTACTCGAACGATTTCCTTTTTAATGATTAACAAATACTGCCCATTGGTAAGAACACTTTCTAGACAAACGCTTGCTAATTTTTTGCCGACCTAGTAACCAAGCCTGAGGTAAGACAGACTCAAGGTGGCATAATATGATCTTGCTACTGAAGCTTTTAGAACCGCATTGTATTAATTTTAAGACACAGAGAAGTTACTACCCCACCATGCGAAGCCTCTTACCCAATGGGGTTTGGTTCCGACTCTGCATGAAGCGCATAACATGATGTCTCCGTTTGGTGGCTTTCGGAATTCTAACTATGAACTCCTGGGAGCTCACTACTGCGGGTTTTGGCGGACCATTAAGTGGGCCTACCGGGCGAGACATTTCACACAATATTCTTTCTATTTTTCTGATAACCACCCCAAATTTTTCAGCGAACCGAACAACACGTAAGGTAAAACATGTCACGAAAAGTGTTTCCTATATTTAGGAAACTATCCGATTTTCGAACGCAGTGATAAGCCGCCACTGTAGCTTCTGTCTGATAGAAGATTCCCACTCAATGATGCCGTTGCTCGTAGCACACAGGAAAGGATCTGAACATAATGTTTTGAAAGTGCGGCGTCTGTTACACTTCCGGTGGTTTAGCCGTAGCAGACGGGTCGATTCCACATCTTCAATTAAACTCTCATCAATGGTATGCATCTAGTACCTTAACAGTAGATACCTTAATAGGTACAACGACTTTGTGTCATGCTTGTGGGCTGATAAATCTACTTGACCCCATAGCTGTTGCGTAGGTTGGAGAGTGATCCACTGGAAACGCAGCCGCATCAAACCGAAGTAAACAATAATTTTTATTTACATTTCGGTTATGTTCCAAGGATTGTTGTCGATTGGATATCTCAGTGTCAGTTGGAAAAAAGAACAGTGAAACAATGGAATGAGCAGCCAGTGATGCCTGAGTGTGTATACCATGTACTTATGGGTGTATTCAAGATTGTAAGCGTGTAGCTAAATCAGTGTCCGTGTATGTAATGTAAAGACTGACCGCATAAATCGAATGAAGCTTCTGCAATATCAATATTTTACTTTTTTGACAATACCTATTGAAATAATTTATGCATGGTAGCCTGCTTTACAGATAATTATTGATAATTATCTGCAAGGCAGGACTCAGAAAAACGTTAACTGCTGTATTTGCTTGATGTATCAAACCTTTAGAAACGGATGCACTGTGATAAATTTGCCTACCACCATTTGTGTCTTATTATACTTTGCATCTGTTTAGAATCATGACAGCTAATTTTTATAATTTGTGTATTCGCATGTATAAGAGGTCCATACTAGACCACTTTTTGGTAGTCAATCCGTACAAATTAATTGTTGACTACATGCAAGTTATTCTATGTCACTGCAAAATTAAAATTCTCCGTTTTGTCTATCAATAGAACATCGCTTTGCTTTCCAAATCTTAAAATTTTACCTGCACCCTAAAGCCCATTTGACGACGCTTAACCATATACGTGATTATTTTGGTCTTATACAGTATTTACAGAGAAAAAAGATAGTCTTATTGCAATTCAGCCAGTGTAACTGGGCAAATATTCAAGTTGAAAGGTATTCGAAGAGTAAAAATAATAACTTGCACTCACACATTGTGCTACTGATAACATGAAGGCTCACAATGTGTTATTTACTAAAAAAAAAGCAATTTAACAGTGGGCTGTGCTGATAAGAAGATTCTCTTAATAAAAAACGCGCTTAAAAACCTATTACATAGTGTTTTCGCACAAAATAGACCTAATTGGTGATTCTAAAGATCCGTTTTACAGATCAGTTGACAGTGGTATGTGATTTTGAATAACCACTAGAAGCAAGAAGCAGTGGTAGTATTTAAATAAACATACAACATCATGTCGGGCCTCGCTTCATTGACGGCACAGTACACGGACTCGGAGGGCGAAGATGATAGCCGCACACAACAGTCAGCGCTAAGTAGGGAAATGGACCGAGTGCTTAGTAAGTAACCTCTTTAAGCGGTTTTACATGATTTGCCACATCAAACTACTGTTACAATCATGCGTCAGGTAAAGCTGCAAATTGCGTTAATTGATTTTCAGTTGGAACGATTATATTAAAAACCTACTTATCTTTCGTCATTATTTCATGATAATTATAGAGAAAAATTGGGTACATTTGTTAGGTTTCGAGTTTACTATCATCTGTTAACAAACGAGCTATTGTTTATCCGAGCATAACAGCTTATATTTGCGATTCATTTACATTATAAATAAAGGGAACCTATGAACGCAATGTTAGACCAGCAACCTTGTATGACGACCTTGAATTAAACTGAAGCAGGAACTTTAAAACTGCTTTTCTATTTTTAATTGATTGTAGGTGCCCCTCCGGTTGCTCAGTTGCGAGTACGTGATGTTCACAATCGCGTAGAGATTACACCAAATGGATCAACAGGTCCACTGGTTGCGTACGATGCACCTGATTCAGATGGCGAAAGAGATGACGATGACGATGATGAAGTTGGGGCACGTAGAGGAGGCGAAGATGGAAATTGCGGCGATGAACCTATTGATATGGATATCGACAGTCAAAGTAAGTAAAGCACAGCAATCTCTAAGAAATCGTTGGCAGTCAGTAGCAGCCTAGGGCAAAATTTCTAACATCAACGCTACTGACGGTGTTATAGAATTTATTTTTATTTAAATATACTATAACTTGTTTTTTGCTAGTAAGAATACAGGATTATAGGAGTCTCCTCAACACAGCATGGGCAAAAGCACATTGTAGAATTTTAATATTCTGAAGTTTCAGTTTTTAGAAAAATGCTCCTCAGCTTTGCCCTTGCTTCTTTTATTTCTATTTTGAGAAAAACTCATTTCGGTTCATTTTACAGCCAAGGAGCGCGTAAGCATTGCTACAAACGATCCATCAGAATTAAGATGTTGACGCTTCTGTCAGAATAACACTATGTACCTAGGGATGAATAAATACAATTATATATATATACGGCTTAGTTAAAAGGGATATAAAAAAAAAAGTTTATATGTCCTTTTCAGACGACATATTTATCATATCGTGTACATCTTCACTAAAGTTTTATTGTATAGTGAAACGAGTCGGCTCTGTTGTACCGTTTCAAGACATGACCGTACACAGAAGTAAGCACTGCTTGTTTGTCCTGGTGCTTGTACATCATATTGCAGGCAGTAGCCAGGCATCTACGGGATTCGAAATAAATTCAGCACCTATTAGTCGGCCACGCTCCCCACGTTCTTTTCATCGACATCTCTGCGAGCAAAATTTGTCTGAGTCTATCATCTTGCCCTCTGAACCTCCAGGGAAATGTAGCGCACATTTACAATCTCTTATTTCTGACTTCATGGATAAAGCCCGACGTGGAGCAAACCTAGGTCAGTATAAAACTTCCTACTTGAACATGCCATGTTTATTGTTTTTATCTTAATAGTCCTTACTAAAGTTATTATAACCAAATGGTTAGTTATTTGTTTGCATCATTTTTTCTAACAGATTTTGGTCGTACAGATCTATTTTTTACAGCAACCAGCATGACAGCTAGGACCAACTTTGTCTTGACTAGACGATAGATCTCTTATACATATATAGAGGAGGCGGCATCTAAATTGGGGCCTTTCTTATGCTTTATGTATCCTTATGTATCCAAATAAAAGCATATTTCAACGAAACTTTTCACATGTGTCAGAAGCCTGATTTTTGCCGGTTATGTTTATTCAATATGACTGCCATTCACCGCTTCCAGTCTTGAACCGCTCACAGGCTCGCTTCCCTTTGTAAATGTGCAGATGTCTTTTTAATAGCACGAGTGAGTGAATTAACTTGCATGCTTGTTCAATAGCGCTCCGTCCATAACAATCCAACAGATTGAAACCCGGGCTGTTCGGCAGTCGATATATTCGTACAAGCCCGTGTTCGTACTTTCAAGTAACCGACTCTGTACTAATTCACATGTATGAACTGGTACAGCATCACCATCTTGTTAAAAAATTTATATTTTTCATTAGATGCTTCAGCTGTCCATAGCAGCGCAATTTTTAAAGCATGAAGATAAACATCTTTAGGGATACATTCGCTTTCTTGTAAGAAGTATGGTGGCATTTCCTTTACTGGACACTACACTCAGAATATGAACTTCGGCTAATTTACTCACTATAGACACATCGCCTGCATAAGCAAGTTATGCAAGATAGTCTCTGGCGTTCATTTTGAATCAAGTATGAATATTTTCTCATCAGAGAAGAACTGAAAAAGACCTACTGATATATTCTTGATCTAGTCTCAAACAATATCAGTCAAATTTCTTAGTTTTATTGTGCTCGGAAAGCATGTCAGGCTTTTTTGACGTGGGAGGTACACCTGTAGTCCTCATGAACAATCAGGGACGTCGGACGTTCACATCAAATTTTGTCATTAACGTCTTGATCAAAATATAGAAAATAACGAATATTACAAATGCATTTTGGGATGGCAACGATCTACCGCGAATCCATAGCGCTGTTTTTGTTGTGGATTTTACATTATGCTGGTTTTATGCAGTCGTATACTTATTTATATATATTTATAGTATTGACTGTCGATGTGGTGCTCAAAAAGTTTATAATTTTAGTAAAACATTATCCAGCTCGCAGAGACTGAATAATTACTAACCTTCGCTCTAATTCCGAAAGCAACCTAATTTTACAATACCGTGTTGATATATATATATACATATATACATTTTGTTCGACGATATTGACGACAGGTATTTATTCAAGCGAATGTCCCAATTCAAGCTATCGCCTTTGAAATATCTTCGGCGGATGCATCACACTGTATTGTTGCTCCTCATTGTAGTTGACACGAATGGTGGCGTGGATTTTACCTTCTCAAAAGCGAACTAGCTTTAGAACATCATCGGTATATATGACAGAATTATCGGGTACATATTCTACCGGTATTGCAGCGTCTACCGCACTCTGCGTGTTGTCTGGTCCTGTGAAGCATATATTTAGAGTGCTATTTCCGTGCTGCTTCTCATTACGGCATTGCTCATAGCGGTTCACACCGCGAACCTGCCCTAAAATAAATCCCTCTATATACTGTGAAGAACTAGGCCATTGGTCAGAGACTGACAATATTCCGATGAGCGGCCGAAGTCTTCATGTCTTAACTGCGTACGAATTAGAAGCTGTTTATTGTGTTTATTTTTCAAGTGATATATACGTTTAGATATATATTCAAATTAAGATTTTTTCCAACTGTAGAATGTGTATCCTACCCGACTTTTTTTGTTTTAATTATTTAAATATGGCTTTGTTTCAGCAGAAAAAAATAGTTCTGAATTTACTCTTTTTTTTCATTTGAATGTATTTCGATCGTCAAACTAACTACGATTTTTTTTTATTTTTTCATGACCTTTGCATTTTCATCCATGTTTGCGGAGTGCAGTTGAAAACATCCAGCGGAAAAAGGCCTTCCGCAATCCTTCAATTTACGAGAAATTGATTCTTCATTGTGATATCGATGAACTTGGTTCGAACTTCCCATCGGAGGTATTCAATCCGCATGGGTTTGCAAAGGAAAGTTACTACGAGGAGCTAAGCAAGAAACAAACTGAGGCAATGAGCAAACTTGAAAAAGTGAGGTTCTGCACACGTTGCTGTACGCAGTTTGCTTAGAAGAGTTTTTGCAGTTTAATTAACCTTATAAATTTATTCGCATAAATAAAGTTTATAGGTAGCACAAACGTCACTTTGAAATTTTAATTCTGACGGTTTATAAAGCTTCGGGCTGGATATGCCCATAAAAAGATCCCCCCGCTTTCGGTAGGTGTGCCTAACTTGGCAACTATACTTCCTTGTTGTTAGAGTTTATTGTTACAACGATCAACCGCGATCTTAGCCTATATTGAGGATAGGAAGGGCAAGAAGTAATTTACTCCCGGCCGAAATCAGACTGAATTTCTTTAGACTACCGGCGGAATGCATTGTATCCGGGCGTTTACTTAGATATTGGGGTAAAAGACATGTTTCATTGTTGATCTACATATAAACTAGATTATACCATCCGTTATATTCGTTATGAAAATAACAGCTCGACAAGAATCGCAATTCTCGATTCAATATTCGACGAAACACTGTCTCCTATTTTAGGAACGTAAGAAGCCAGAAGTCGTAACACTGATGGGCGTGGCACCAGCTCCGAAGAAATCTAAATGGGATCAGACAGGCTCTGGTACGTCCAGCGCCAGTGCACCAAGAACAGCTCCCGGCCTTGTATCTGTTCCCACCGGTGAGTTGGCGGAAATAATGATGATTTCAAAAATTTCATGATGGTTTACAGGATATCATGTGTTCTTCTTGTTACTTATGACTCTAATTTATTTACACCTATAGTATCTTTAATAATATGAGTAAATAACTAGAAATTCGTGTTCTTCACTGTGCAGGTACGAAACCGGTTGTGATCCACGGTATGGGTTCACTGCCAAAACCAAAGAACCCCGTTACGCACGTTGGGACATCGGTGGCCAGCAGAAGATAAAAAAAGGCGTTCCTCGTTTAAAGCACACTCATATATCACCCTAAAGGAAACAAGGCGACTGATTGATGCAACACAAATTCATTCGCAACGGGAAAACGAATAGACACCGAGGGACGAAGATATTATTACAGAATATTATGTAATTTGAACGCGACCGTTCAGATCGTGTTCAGCTATTTTTGTGTTTTCTGTCAACCTATTGGTTTGTAGACTTGAGATTAAATTTTTCGTCGATCACGCCGTGTATTTGCAATTGAATTCGGTAGTTGGGTGTGCTTTGTCAAAGAACCTTGTAAATGTATATTGACAGAAAGGAATGCGCGTAAAATAAAGTGTATTTATCTCATTTGGTGGCTGCCTAATTTTATATTTACATAAACTATACTTATTTGAAGGTGTCTAAATCGATAACCCTTCTACGGTTAAGATGGCTTCTTTGTTTAAAAAAATACGGTAAAATTATGGTCAGGGATTGTTAGATAGTTCTGTAAACGACAAAGCCTGACTCTATTTATCAGGGTGATTTTCATTATAAGTATAAGAAGGTTTGCCATCGTCTTTGCATTTCTCTGTGTTACTATTAACAAATCTGATATCATCTAAAAGCGTAAGCAATGCATTCTTCCTAGCGAGATATTTCTGCATTTTTTATAGCCTTCCCGCACACTAAGTATTTAATGTGCTCCTGTTCTAAGAAGTCAGTGCATAGTAGTATACATTCTCCTGTCTATACACACCAACATAATATAGAATTTACCAGGTAAGGTAGTTTTGCGATAGACCTCTTTTTCATTAAAATTATAGTAAAAGCCATAATGTCAAGACTACCAATGTTTGTTTGGGCAGTGAAGAACGTATTTGCTTGAGGCACAAGTACAAATCCTCTAATCCTCATTCCTTTAATGCATATGAGCTATCGCGAGAAAATAGAGCAAAAATTATTTATTTTCAGTCGTAGGTGCTATGGATAGTTACGTAGATGAGCAAAGTGAGACGCGGTTTGAAATATTTGTATCATGCCATCACTGCCAGTCAGAAAATTCTGGGCATAATTTCAGTGTCCAGGTTTCCAAGGTAGGTAGGACAAACTAAGCCGTTTATGACTAACAGTGAACAAATTGAAAATGCTCTATCAAAGAAGCTAGAGCACACGACTAAATACCATGCAGAAATACGTGACGAACTCTTAGGGCTTTGCCGCAGTAGCTGCGCCTCCGTTTAGGCCCATGAACTTAAGTAGGCCAAAACACTCGTCGAACAAAATAAACTTCTCGTCGAAAGTCAAAGTGGACTTTGGCTTTCAACGAGAAGACGAGAATAAATATAAGCTACTCGAAAAGTTGTAAAAACCATTTCTTGACGACAAACTTACTACTTTTCGGTCTTTCCATCGTAATGCCAAGTTTTGTACATTAGAACAATAGTATCGTCCATAGGATTGAATTTTTCTATCGGGTTAAGCAAAACGTGATACGAATATATAAAAATGTCGCTTACCAAGTTATCACAAAGAATCGTTGTTGTTATCACAAAGTTGCCGACCGTTTTTGTTTCTCCTGCCCTTTTTAAATAACTAAAAATTAGCACACTATCAATTAATTAATAACATCGGCGTTCGTGCTTTATGCGGTGGAACGCTACCGTTGAAAAAACCTTTGTTTTCTGCGAAAACTTATTATCGAAATGAAGAGGCCATTACGATGAGGCTCTGAAAGTGGCATACAGAATGTGACGTAAACATACGTGAAAGTAGCGAGGAAAACACTGAGGCAATGAACCAGGAAATTTAGGCAGACTGACCGCTCGCAGGTGGAATAAGGCCGAGGCAGAGCTCAAACTGAACAAGTCACAGCACTGTTGTATTAAAGAGCAGGGTGCATGCCAATCCAACGAGCTCAATGCGAAGCCGTACTTAATAATTGGGCCTATCGGCAACTTATCTGCAACTCATTTTAAAACAAAAGTTACCTATTCATCTTTACAAAACACATTTGATTTAAGCATTAAGGATCCAGAAGCATCGTTTGCTTGTTGATCCTGGCTCAAGCGCAATGCACACGTTGGTCAGTTTTTCAATCACAACTTTTTTTTTTTTTATTAAGCTCATTTTCAGCTAAATATATGACGCTTTCTGAAGCGATGGTGTCATTGGGCCCTTTTCTTTCGAAAACGTCAATGGAACGGCAGAAATAATCGATGGCGAGCTTTATTGTGGCTTTCATAAGAGCAGATTCTATAAAACAACGCCAAAAATCATTCATAACCTTTAAGGTATATAAGAAATGCTTGACAAGATTGACGCTGAACTATGCAATGCTGTATTTCAAAATTATGCGAATAGAATTGAGTTATGCTGCAGCTTCTTGGAGAAAATTTGACGTACATTATTTTTCATGTGTTCTGCGAATTAAACCCCTTACGCTAAGTTAACGTAACTGTATAAATACGCACAGGAAGTCACTCTTGTTTGCAATTCCAGCATTAAAAGGCAATCCACAAACTAGTATGGAACATCTATTCTTTCTAGTTTAAAAACTTAACGGTGTTACTTATTTGCTTATAGATTCGGCCATGCAGATGTAGTAAATTCTGCATTTTTTGACTATTACGTCTTTCCTAAATTGGTTTCAATTATTGAATTTGATCATCTACATTTCTTATATCACTTAAGTCACATAAAAATGATCTCTTGAACCAAGTCAAGGTGATAAGAAGAGATATATCAAGCAAGATAACAAACGCGCTCTTCATACAAAAAATACGGCTGCTATCTCTTTCAGCGGCATCAACATAATTCTAAAGTTGGCCGCTCTCTTTTATGCACAATAAACAAGTTGCTTGTTGCTTATATTGTACGCGTAGCCCTAAGCAACTCGCTGGCTGTGTGTGAGCAACAGCACAGGCACCGAATCAACGACGTTTCTTACCTTCTGAGAGGTTAAACTTTTTTGTGTAATGCGATATGAGTTCTACAGAAAGAATGTAGCCGCCGCACAGTTCTATGTTACGTTGTCAATAATAGTCCATCTGTTACGCTACGATGAATATAATGAAAAGCACGCACCTTAGCTCTAGGTACATTTCGGTCGATAACCCTCTACAAAATTAGTCAGGTTGTGTGGACAATAGATAGTTGACTATTTCGTATGCATTGTCGTGTTTTGAATAGGGAGAATACAATTCCTACCAGAAAACGCAGGAAGGCGAGGGTGAACGAGGCCTCATAATTCTTTGCCGGCTCTCTTCATGAAGATCAGAATTAGATATGTGCGCTGCTGAGCATTGGCCAAAAGAACGCGGCAAATGTCAGAGCACGTACTAAGCACCTAATAAGAATATCAAAAATGAAGCCTACAGCAAGCACACGTATTTGTCAAGATCTCTCATATCTCAGCACCAAAAACCCACATCTCACATTTACTATTTACCCAATTTGGTACATGGTTTTTTGTGTGAGAGTAGCTGAACCTATTCTAGCCTATATAGTCGCAATTTGGCAGACTGTGGATTTCAGTTAATAAAGGAAGTTTCGAGGCTTAATAAGGGTTTGTTTTTTTTCGTCATAATAGGTTTATGGTTTGTTTTATAGTCACATTTTTGCTACCTTTAGCGTAAGGCTAACTCGCCTGGGATACATCATTTAACGATTGCCAAGAAGTAACGTGAATTAATTATGTAATAGCATGCACCGAAGTATATTTACGTACGACTTATCCAGTTTGATAGGGGCCCTTTTATGGTTAGCACACTTTAGGCAAGTAACTTGTCTTTTAAGTTGTGAATAGTAGGGATTTTCCTCTTTAATGAGTAATAAACAAGAAATTACAAGCCCACATCAATTAGCCTACGAGCATTCTGCTGAATATGTTATTTTTGTTAAATATATCTTCTCGTAGCCTTATATATCCATTGTTATTTTTAATTTACAATTACATTCTCTAAGTTATATCTAATTCTGAGTTTCCAGGGGCACTGTATAAAGGCAAAGCGAACCAGCCAAATCCCATAAATATATAAATAATAAATAGGATCTAAATAAAAAAAATTAGCTTTTCATTACAACATTTAATCAGTATTTTTATTAGTACTTACTTAAATATTATAAGAGAATGCGTAAGTACCAACAATCAATCAATTAATAAACAAGTTTTTTCTGTTTATTGTTGGCCGTTGGTCTATGGCTAAGTGTTATTTTTTCTGAGGGGATCCATTGCCACTGGCCGTGTTGAGAGATGGCGCCACCCACTAGTTACATTAGAATGGTGCTCTACGATTTTTTGGTGGCGCGAAAAAGCAGACGACAGTACGACGTTGTTCCGTTCTTTCCCTACCCAGGGTTTGCTACCGCTTATCTCGGGCAGCAACAATAATAACAGGTACACATTTTAGGGAAGACTTCAAAAGAAAAGAGTTCATTTTGTCTATTTGTTTCCGTAAAGCGCGCTGTGCTGTGGTGCACCACAGCAGCAGCAGCAGCAGAATTTGCTAGCCAGCCAACCGACCGCAACAGGCGCTAACATAGGCGAAACATCTATTTCTACGTCTGGTCTCTTCTGCTGTAGTGTGTTGGTCTGTGACAGAAGGAAAGACATTTTTTTTCGTGCCTATGTGTCCGCCTGAGACGTCAGTGTTGCCTCTCACATTCGGTCTATTTTATTCTAGCGGTGCATCCGTATTGTACCAATAAATAGTAACGACTAGAGGTAAAAGGATAGTTTAAGTAACGAGCGTAATGAACAGCAATAAGATTTCGTAATGTGAACTCACCATAAGTTACTCTAGACGATTGTTGCTGATAACAGTAAGTGCATGAGCGGTTAGTAGTAGCGGTGTTCACTCAGTCATTGCAATCGACGTCAGTATCCGACGTAAAACTCAAAAAATTTTGTCGCTTACCTGGTCAGTCAATCATTGAGCCGGCAACTTCTGCCGCACCGTGCAAGCGATAGGGCGAACGCGAAGAGTTCAGGGGTAGCTGACTGCCGTGTCATTTTTATAGTGCATACTCTTGCAAAAAGTACTGCTACCGTCACCAGTGAGTCGTATTGGGTTGAGAAAGATGAATTCATAGTGAATGGATTAGAGTTATTCCTATAGGAAGAGAAATATAAGTGACGGAATGTGCGATTAACGCCATTCAGTATTATGTGAAGTAAAACTCGGAGACATTTTCAGCGAAGGATGCGCTATTGTGTCGTGCTTCTGTGGACCTACTTAAGTGAATGTGGCGTATATGCTAGACAATATAGTAGAATAACAAAGGCGTAAGGGAATTGTGTACTGTCAGTGAATGTTAAAGAACATACTTGTCTACGGAATTTGACAATTGACCAAGA